TTTTTTCTTCTTTCTGCTTCTTCTCTTTTTTATGCTCGTCATCGTGCAAGTTCAGATGATACAAGCGATCAGGAGGAGAATGGTGCTTGCTGTTCACCCATTGCTAGTCAAGAAGTGGCTAGTAACAACACAACAGACCCTGCTACAACAGCAACAACAATGACAGCTTTGGATGTGCTTGCTACGCCGTTGCACAGCGCAATTGGCAATGATTTGTCCGTTGCGGCGGCACAAGTGCAAGATCGCACACAAAGCGCAGCCGATTTGGCTGAAAATAGCACAACAACAGAAGCCGATACGGCTGCTGCCGCTGCTGCTGCGCACGACGTTGCGCTCAACGAAGATCACAATCACAACAACACCAGAAACAGCAATAGCAACAGCAGCGCCAATAGTTTTTTGATGTCCGGTGCATCGCCAACGCGCCTAGAACAAGCGCGCGGCACAACGCCTGTGGAGCGCTTACTACAGTTGAAATCACTTGCTGATGCGGCGGTGGTAGCGAAAACAATGGCAGGTGGCGACAGCGCAGCGTCAGCAATTAGCGCAGCCGGTTCACCAGCATACAACACATATCCGACAGATAAAGCTTGTGTTACAAACAACAGCAAATTTGATTCACCCACACACATGGATATGGAAAAGCAAGCGAAATCGCAGCTTTATGCGGCAGTAGGCGCTGCAAAAAAGCGGCGCGCGTCAGCGATGGAAGATGAGGACGACAATGGGGATGAAAATGAAGCAGCAGATGGAGATGGAGCGGAAGAAGCGCAAGTTAAACCAGCTGCAGAAAGATTGGCGTTGAAGCAGCTAACCAGCGAATTACCAGCTAATTTAGCGACACCAAAACCCAGTGGCTCGGTGAGCAGCAATGCAATGGCTGCAAGCGAGTCAGATGACAACTTAGCAAATCCCATTTCTGCACCACTAACGCCCACCTCAAGCGCGCTCGCCACATTGCCACAAGCCGCTGCTGCCGCTGCCGCTTTTGGAGCTGCGCCCGTCAATTTCGAAGCCATACAGAATATGCAAATGGCTATCGCGCAATTTGCGACCAAGACGATAGCGAATGGCGCGCAGGGTGGCGATAATGACGCAGCAATGAAACAATTGGCATTCTTGCAGCAAGCGCTTTTCAATTTGCAACAACAACAACTCTTTCAAATACAACTCATTCAACAGCTGCAATCACAGCTGGCCATGAATCAGCCGAAGGGGTCGAGCGAAGGAGCAGACGCTGGCGACTGTGAGGAAATGGAAGAGGAACGCGAAGATGGCGAGGAGGATACGTATGAGGAGGAAGAGCGCATTGCTGAGATGGAATTACGACAGAAGGCGGAGGCGCGCATGGCTGAAGCAAAAGCGCGACAGCATCTTATCAATGCCGGCGTGCCGCTGCTTGATGAAAACGCCGACGGCACGACAAAGTCGAGTACATCAGGCGGGGCTAGCGGTTCCTCCGTAGCGGCAGAGTCACTCAAGCGCAAGCGCGAGGATGATGAGGATGCAGACGCCTTCAGCGTTGCTACCAGACGCATGAACGTAGAGGTGGCGACGCGTGCGAGCGCAGAAGGCGCGCGTTTGAGCGGAAAAATACCAACATCATCGGATGCGCTGAGCAAACTGAAAGCGCTCGAGAATATGCCGCTGCCTTATGGTTCGCATTTGGCGTCGACCATTATTACCAATCATGATGACCTGCCTGAGCCCAACTCGCTAGAGATGTTGCAGAAGCGCGCGCAAGAGGTGCTGGATTCCGCCTCGCAAGGCATACTCGCGAACAATATGGCAGATGAGTTTGCGTTTCGTGATAAAAATGGCGAAGGCAAGAACCGAAATGAGCCATTCTTTAAGCATCGCTGCCGCTTCTGCGGCAAGGTGTTCGGCTCTGATTCGGCGCTACAAATACACATACGTTCGCATACTGGCGAGCGTCCGTTCAAGTGCAACGTCTGCGGCAGCCGTTTCACCACCAAAGGTAATCTGAAAGTGCACTTTCAGCGACACGCACACAAGTTCCCGCATGTACCGATGAATGCCACGCCCATACCCGAGCACTTGGACAAGTTCCACCCACCGTTGTTGGATCAAATGTCGCCGGATAGTACGCCGACGCATACGCCGGCAGCGTTGCCACAACAAATGCCCCAACAGATGCCGCCAGTATCGCTGCCGTTACCTTTTCCGCCAATCGCTGCCTTTCCCGGACTTCCCGGTCTGTATCGGCCGCCCATGGAGCTGCTGAAGTCGTTGGGCAATGCGGGTTTCCCAAATCCATTCTTTCCGCATATGCCGCCAGCTGGGCAGTCACGCGCGGAAGCGCCAACGGCTCGGCATGCATCCAAGGAGAGTAACCAGGATTTGCCAACTGATTTGCGTAAGTCCTCGGCATCCAATTCACCCGAACTGCCAGTCAAGACTGAAATCACAGAAGAGGAAAAAAAAGAAGTTCGAGCGGAAGCGCAGAAGGCAACCACGTCACGGCCATCGGAGAGTGCAAATGTTGCCACATCGCAGGACGCAGCGAAAGCCTTGGACATACAAATCAAAGAGGAACGAATCGATACGGATTCGCAGGACGAAGAGATGGAACGCGCAGACACACCACCAGTACAGCGTTCGACATCACCTGCACGCACCTCCTTATCACCTTCTCAGAGATGCGCCAGCGCGCCCTTCACACCTCCAACGCCCACATCCAGGCCATTGGCGTTGCCACCTGTTGTACAGCCAGCGCAACCACCCATATCTAGGCATCCGCATCCCTCGCCAGGCGCCCACAACCACATCGATCACCTGCCCACATCCGGTCAGCTGCCGCCATCTTTGCACCACCGCAACGACTTCTTTGCGGAACGCTTTCCACTGAATTTTTCCAAAAATCTGTCGCCCGAACACCATTCGCCCATACGCTCACCCGCGCACCTACAACACTCGCCATTCTTCAACCCCATCAACCACGAGATGGCGCTGCTACCACGCCCCCACAGCAATGACAATTCGTGGGAGAACTTCATCGAGGTTTCGAACACCTCGGAGACGCTGAAACTGAAGGAGTTGATGAAGAACAAGAAGCTCACCGACCCAAACCAGTGCGTCGTATGCGATCGTGTTTTGTCATGCAAGAGCGCGCTGCAGATGCACTACCGCACGCACACTGGCGAACGCCCCTTCAAGTGCCGCATTTGCGGACGCGCTTTCACCACCAAAGGGAATCTGAAAACCCACATGGCGGTGCACAAGATCCGGCCACCCATGCGCAATTTCCACCAATGTCCCGTCTGCCACAAAAAGTACTCGAATGCGCTGGTCTTACAACAGCACATACGGCTGCATACCGGCGAGCCGACTGATCTCACGCCCGAGCAAATACAAGCAGCCGAGATACGTGATCCCCCACCGTCAATGATGCCGGGCGCCTTCATGAATCCCTTCGCAGCCGCGGCTTTCCACTTCGGCGCCATGCCAGGCGCTGGCGCCGCCATAAGCCACCTGGGCCCACACAATGGCACACTCGGCTCGGAGTCATCGCAGGGCGACATGGATGATAACATCGACTGCGGCGATGACTTTGACGATGATATCTCATCCGAGCACATGTCCAGCGCGCACGACTTGGACGTGAGCGATCGACCGAAATCCAGCAATGACTTCAAAGGCTTGCTCTTCGAACAAAAGCTGCGCATCGATGCCACCGGTGTCGTGAATACCACACCATGTCCGCGTTCGGCTGCCAGCAATGCCAACTCGGTGAACTCCGCGCCAACCAGCCCCAGTTCGGGCGCGCCGCGTCACTGCTCCACACGCATCAGCTCGCCAGCGCGCTCCATGTCCGAAGCTTCACAAGGTGCTCTAGATCTAACGCCACGCGCCATACCAATGCAACAAATCAACAGCAGCAACAGCTCACGTTCGCCAGCGCCGACGTCTGCAGCTCCTCAGGCTGCTGTGGGTGGTCGAAAATCGCCCACGCCACCGGTGCGCAACAGCAGCGCCAATAGCAGCACAGCACGAAGCCCCACATCGGCGCCGACGCAAAGGTCGCACCCACAACGGAGTCCTGCAGCTGCTCTCACCTCACCGCTGGTACCACCATCGGCTGTCGACTGCCTGCCGCCAGTGCTGCATCACCACCTGCAGCAGCAACACCAGCATCTAATGCAACAGCAAGCGGTAGCAGCAGCGGCGGCGCATGCGCAAGCTCAAGCGCAGCACCATCATCAACAGTTGCAGCAGCATGCCGTCGCCTTGCATGCCGAACAGCTAAGGCGCGAACACCAAATCAAGCAAGAGCAGCATCAGGCGGCGCATCAGCAACATATGCGTCAACAACAACAGCAGCAGCAGCAGGAAGCGGCGCATGCGTCGGCACATTCACCACATCAGCTTTCGTTGCCGCCACCACACTTGGCGCATCATCTGCAACAACAGCAGCAACATCAACAGGCGGCGGCAGCAGCAGCGGCGGCGCAACAACAACAGCCCGCAGGCTGCCTACCACCACAGGGACCACAGCCACCCAATCCATTGGTTGCAGCGCGTCCGCCCTTCGGCATGTTTCCCAACCTGCCGCTCTTCCCGCCGGCCACAGCACAAACGATGTGCTCGGCAATGAATACGATTGCGCAGTCGGTAATGCCGGCGGCACCGTTCAATCCACTTGCACTTTCCGGTGAGTACCAAGTTTTTAATTGCTTGCTCTATGCAGTACATTGACCCACTTTTAGGTGGTTAGCATTCGTTTTTTTAGTGAAATTATTTATTAGCTATGCTCAGTTGCGCATGCGTAACTGGTATTTGTGGCTATAAATTTGAGTTTAATTAGCTTCATCTTTTCAATTAATTAATTAAATGAGGATTTTGCTTTATTACCATGCATATCTGTGTGTGTGTGTGTGTGTATATATGTACCCTGCAGGGAATCCGCGGACTAGTGAATCAAATTTCTAGTTCCGTACTAGGTCTTTATCGCCAAAAAGGAACTAGTCCGAAATGAACTAGATCCCCACCAGTCCAAAATCGGCGAAAAGTGGTACTTTTAAAATACCAATTTTTTCAGTTTTTTTTCTCTAGAAATCGATATCTAAAGTGACGAATTTAGAAATGGTTCGGAACTATAGAAAAAGGGATGCAGAACGAACTAGATCTTATTTGTCGAATTTAGAACAAGTTCGGAACTATAGAAAAAGGGATGCAGAACGAACTAGATCTTATTTGTCGAATTTAGAACAAGTTCGGAACTATCGAAAAAGGGATGCAGCGGGGGCTATTCTGCGCTTCGCAGATGCTTTTTCATAGCTTTCACAAAACAAAAATTTGTGTTAACATTTCAACATCTTGGGACCGTCTGGAATCTAAGAAATAACAGCGAGCATGTCTGCAAACTCAGCTACAGCTAAAGGTATGTAAACGTACATTTCTTACAATCATTCAAACAAATTTAATTTCAAATTGAAAACACATTTCTTCCAAAATAACTTAAAATCGCACACACGGAAGAACAAAAAAAATTGAAGAATCATGATACTTTTTGCTTTCGTCTGTCGATTTTGAAACTGGTTCGGAACTATAGAATTTAGGACTTGTTCGGAACTATCGAAAAAGGGAAGCAGCGGGGGGGTAATTGACACTTCCTAGGACATCGCCATGTTAAATTCGCCAGTTGCCTGCATGCAAAAGAGATTTATCGCCACCAGTACTGGGTCTAAATGTACTAGAAGCGCCCCAGTTCAGAACTAGAGATTTTCCCCACAGGGTAGCTTGGCCGTTCAAGATTTTAATGCGTTTTCAATTTTCTTTTTTTGCGAAAAAATTTCGCTTTATAGGCGTGCGAGGGAGCACCACCTGCGGCATCTGTTTCAAAACATTCCCCTGTCATTCAGCTTTAGAAATTCATTATCGCAGTCACACTAAGGAGCGACCATTCAAGTGTACAATCTGTGATCGCGGTTTTACAACAAAGGTAAGTTTTTGAAAAAAAATAAAAAAAAGATATAAACAGACGAAATTTCCTAATTTGATTATTTTTTATTGAATTGAATTTTTTTAATTTTCTTTTCCTTTTTTACTTTTAATTTTACACACTCAAACTAAAAACTAAAATTTACTAAAATTTTTTCCCGTTCTTCTTTTTCTTTAACTTTCCGCAGGGTAACCTCAAACAGCATATGCTGACACATAAAATACGGGATATGGAGCAGGAAACATTTCGGAATCGTGCTGTAAAGTATGTAAGTGTTCCAATAATACACTCCTACATTTTTCCTACACACATATTGAACAAAAATAAACAGTCACATACACATATGCACATAAATAACACATTGAGACCGTCTTACACTAAGAAATGGCCCAAACATTTAAACCCTCAATCAGAAATCTGAAAACTGGTCCATTTAAAAGCTGAAATAAATATTTGTTAATTAATAAGTTGAACATACATTTTTGGACATTAAAACTTGTACATAAATTTCTGATTATTTAAAACTGATAACAAATAGTTAATTAATATGCTGGGCATACACTTTGGGATATTAAAAACTGGACATACCTAAATTGTTGGTAATTTTTTTAAGTAAATAGTTGTTAATTAATAAGTAGGGCATACATTTTTGGGCATTAAAAAGTGGAAATAGTTTTTTGGTAATTTACATTTTAAAGTAAATACTTGCTAACTAATAAGTTGTACATACATTTTTGGACATTAAAAATGAACATAATTTTTTGGTAGCTTAAAACTGAAAGTAGATAGTTGTTAATTAATAAGTAGGGCATACATTTTTGGAATATAAAATTTTAACATCATTTTTAGGTAATTTAAATTTGAAAGTAAATAGTTGCTAACCAATAAGTTGGACATAAATTTCTAGACATTAAATACTGGACATAATTTTTTGCTAATTCAAAAGTAAATAGTTTTTAATTAATAAGTTGGACACACACATACACACACATCAATTTTTGAACATTAAAAACTGAAAATAATTTTTGGTAATTTAAAACTGAAAGTTAATAGCTGTTAATTAATAAGTTGGACATAATTTTTTTGGCAATAAAAACTGGACATACATTTTTGCAAATGAAAAACTGGACATAATGTTTTGCTAATTGAAAAACTGAAAGTAAATAGTTGCTAATTTATAAGCTGGACATGAATCTTTGAACATTAAAAACTGGACACAAATTAACTTGTCTTTTAAAAATTGCACATAAATAACATTAATGTAAAAACTTGGCATGAAATATTAATTTCGAAAATGGATATACATTTTCGGCTACTATTTAAAAAATGTGCAAAAACTTTTGGTTATTTAAAAATGTGGAATACATTTTTGAAAATTTAATTACTGGAAATTTCAACATCCATTTTTACTAATATAAAAATGGTCACAAATTTTCGGTCACTAAAAGTTTGACAAAAATTTTTGGGCCCTTAAAAACTAGATCTAGGTTGTTGGCCATTAAAAGGAGGACATAATATTTGGACATTTAAAAATGCGTATAAATTTTCGAAATTTAAAAACTGCATATAAATTTTTGGTTATGTAAATATTTGAAATAAAATTTTGGTACTATAAAAACTAGACACGTATCCTGGGTAATTTAAAAACCGAATACAAATTTTTAGACAACTATAAATTGGTACTTAAATTTTTGGGTAAATAAAATATTAAAAAAAAATAGGCCTAAACTTTGTTGATCGGCTGTAAGTTTAAGCTAGGCTTAATTAAGCTGTAAGATCTAAATAAATAAATACAGCGTGGATAACTGTTACCCAGGGTTTTTTGAGAAATAAAAGGGTCCTTTATAGATTTTGCGAAAAAAGTATTTTATTATTAATATTCCACAGATTCTTCTTTAGTTCTATTAATTAGTTTTTAAATTTTAATCCTTATTTACATTTGCCAGCAGTGTAAACTTTGAGAGAAAAGTTCATATGGCACGCTTGAATGCCTTTGTGAGTAAGTGCCAGCAAAGTGAAACGAAAGAATAATCAAGGCATTAACCTGCTAAACCACTACCTATCACAAATGAAATTGAGGAGGTGCATGAGTCAGTTGAATTTTCCTCATTCTCATTGCTGAACTTTCTGCAGAGAGAATTCTTTGGCATTCGCTATTGCTAAGGCATCGCTTGCCAGCAGTGTTGGCGTTTTGATCCATATACTTCAAAAGTGATACGTGTTTGTGCAAAGTTTCGGAAGATACTTTATTTTTTCTCTCATTTCGCGAGATACTTAAATCTTTCGCGTAGTACAAATTTTGATACATGTTAAAGAGAAAATATTTATGTATGTATGCAGTGGTAGCCTTAAAAATTTGATTTGGGTCAAATAAGCTTAAAGAAAAATGCTTTAAATGAACTACGTATAAAGAGTTGACTTCATTCAATATTTATCACCCTAGGTGCGTTTGGGCTGCCATATCCCGCAAATTATATTTAGGATCTGTGAGTGTACGTGTAAAATTTTTTATTAAAATACTTTCAGGAGCGGTTGTCTGCAGTATGGACAAAGTTCACGATTTACACAGCGCACTTTCATATGGCATAATTCTTTATATTCATTTATCGAGGGCTTATATTCAATACCTTCTATCTGCAATTTTCACAAAAATGAGATTCTGATACAAAAATTCACCTAAGACTTAACTATCATCGGTGATATTAGTGCTGACCTGTATAATGCTTGACAGAAGAATTTGCTATTAAATTGCAATGTCAGAATTAACATCAGTGATGACAGGTAGATAAGTCCCAGATGGGTTCTAACATTACAAATTAGTTTTTGTGAAAATTTCAGATAGATGGTATTGAATATAAGCCCTCGTTATGCATTTGAGAACTTAAGAATTTTCAGTTGTTGAATGCTACATTTTCGTTTGTTTATTTATTGAACTACGGCGTTAATAGACACCTCGATTTCATTTGGTCCATTCCCAACTTAGCTTCCCTTAAGGACATAACCAGAGTACTCATACTAAATTTGCTCAGATGTACTTATTGTAAATCTACCACTTGGTATAAGTGGGCACTCCAATTCAGTGCAAATGAGTTTGATGAACTGAGTAAGGAAATGTCAGCCTGCGAAACAACTGAAGAACTAGTATGTCCGGTTGTGAGGTCTCTACTAGTATTTTCATACTCCGCATTTGGTTTACCGCTCAGTAATTTGTGCTTTGGAAGATGATCTGCTACAATACAGGAGATTCAGTTCTCTATTTACGGACCTTTTTCTTGCAGTTCATTGGTGATATTGTTAGCTACTAACGTACACTGCTCTGCGCATAATCTGGCTGGCGTTTCCATACTCTACAATACCTCATCCATTGTCTACTGTTCGATCTTAGCAGGAAGAAGAGCTAAAGTGCTCCAAAAAAAAATCTTCGAAGACGTCGACGGTAGCGGAAGCAAACGCATGGGGACTACATGAGGTTTATTCGACTTCAAACTGGTTTTCAGGATAGTTAATTTCCTTGCGGAGTCTAATAGAGCCCTTCTTTTTGAGTAGTTGCCTACTCCATTGCTTTTAGACCACGAAACATAGAGTGGATTGCATTTAAATATAACACTATTCTCTTTTGTAGTGCAAATTTGTTCTTTCAACCAGCATAACAGGTTGTTATTTGTGAGAGAGTAGTGAACAATATTAAGTGGTTTGATATTCTCTCCCAACTTAAACGCTTGAAAAGCATACAGTTTCGTAAATCGTAGTATTGTTTATGAATTCTCCTAAATCTTCATACAATTGTCATATAAAAAATAATATATAATAATAAAAAATTTCAGTAAAAAAAACTCCGATGTTCTTTGCAGCAAAAATAAGTTATTCCAAAAAGTTTATGATTAAAATCGGTCCAGTAGTTTGCGAATTTAGCACGAACAAAAAATTATTTTTTTATTGCCTTATTTCGTATTAAAACAGTTTATGAATTACTGTATGTATTGTGTTTTATTAATCTTTTAATTTTTCGTAATAAAGCTTGTAAGATTGAATTTAATATCATTTCTCTTATATCACTTCTTATTAGCAATGAAATAGCTACTTTCTTCATTTCAATTTCGTTTAATAATAATTAATTTTAAGTAGGTAGTCATAACCTTCATGTCCATCTAACCATTTAATCACGAATTGCACAGACACACACAAACACAATTGTTCTATTGAATATTTATGATTTTTTTCACCTTCAACCTCACTCACCTGTATATCCGTTCTCTTTTCTTTACTTTTTCCAGATGAGTGACTGCAAAGAAGGCTATGAGTAGTGAGACCATTGCGTTCGCTTAGAAAAGATAACAAGCAAGTAGCAAGCAGTTTAAATGAAAAAAAAATTAAATAAAATTAAAAACATTGCAGTTAAACCTGGTCCACGCTACCACTAATTAATATCCACAAAAGTCACCAAATCAAGAAGGGTGCGCACTCTGCTGCGTCTTACTATGCACAGTGCTCAGAGTACTGCGTTTGCCGGTTTGACGCTGGCGACTTTTTGTTTGCAATGTACGCGTAAGTTTATTGGCTTAACTAAGTTTTTTTTTATCTCCATGTAAATATTGTATGTATGTATGTAAAGTGAAAATGTAAGCAACAAATGAAATGTTGTAAGGAGTTAAATAAAGGAACATTTTGTTTATATCGCTTAGTAATGATCTCAGCATTGGGCCTGGTTGGCTGCTATGAAAATGGAACGAGCTTAGAAGTAAATTGAAAAAATCATAAAACTCATTTCTACCTCTGGCATTTAAAGAGTGCATCGAAACAAAAGTGAAAGAAAGTTAAGCAGCCAGCAAAATAAAATCCAAAAAGAAAATTCACCTGCTTGACTGCGATAGTCTGGATTTTTTGTTGCCAATGAAATACACAATGAAAATATTTTGATTATTTTTTTTAAGAAAACAAGTAAAGGAAATTAAAAAAAGGCTAATAACTATTACAAAAAAAAAAACAGCCATGTGGGGAAAAACAGCTTTATGGCAAGTGTTTAGGAGTCAGTTGCGCTGATGTGTTGCTGTTGCCTGCCTGCAAGCCAGACATCTTAGCTACTCAGCTTGCCTTCATTCATTTTAATTTTGCTGTGCGAACTCTAAAAAATTTATAGTTTTATTGAAAGCTGTTAACGGTGTATATTTTCCTTTCTTCTATTTTTTATTGCTCGTCATTGTTGCCTTGTTACTATATAGTATATATGCACATACATATTTACTAGCTGTTATCTGTTGCAATTGCGGGCTGCTTAATAGTTCGTTCCATTTTCCAAGCGTTGGTCCTCAAATATCTCTTTTATTTTTAAAAAATACCTACATACATATATATGTATATAATTTAAAGCATAAAAATGATTTCCAACTACAAACAAACTAATATCTACACAAACTGTGAATGAAATTTAAAAAAGGGAAACTATTCAAAACGAATCGTATCCGAAGAATTTTGCAATCGAGATTTGTATGAACTAACTAATTCAAAAAGAAAATAAAAATTTATTCAAATAAAATTTAAAAAGTGATAAACATTAAAAAGTAAAGCAAAAAATTAAACAAACCCGTAGAATAAAGCTATAAAGGTACAAAGTAAAAAATAAATTAAAATGTAATAAAAACTTACGCAAATTAACCCAAATATTAAAAATAATATGGGATACAAAAAAAATTAAAATATTAAATAAAATATACAAATAAAAAATAAATAAAAAAGTTAAAAACAAAATAACAATAGTAAAACAAGAAATTATATAAAAATAAAATTAATTCAAATTATAATAGGTAATAAGGGAGTAAAGTAATAAATGTAAAAAATAAGATTAAAATTTAATAAAATAATAAAAAAGTTAAATTCAAATGTAATTACATAATTAAAAAAATAACTAAAATAAAATTAAATGAATTGAAATGAAAAAATATCAGTTAATATAAAACAAAAAAAATTAAAATATTAAGAAAAAAATTAAATAAATAAAGTAAATTGCAGTATAAAAATAGAAATAACATTTAATATTGATTAACACAAAAAAATGAAATGAATGAAACACGTAAAACGCGTAACTTAATTAAATTTAAAATAAAATGTAAGCTAAAATGAAAAAAATAAAATAGTAAAAATTTAAAAGAAATACAAAAAAATTAAAATAAATAAAACGGCCTAGAGCTCAATAAAAATTGTTGAATATAATAAATAAAAAAATTTAAAAAAATATTAATGAAATAAAATAAGGATACATAAATTTATAAAATAAAAATTTGATAAAGATAATAAAATAAAATGTGATACACTAAAAAAGAGAAAACTAAAAATAAAAAATCAACAAAGAAAATAAACTAAAAAATGAAAATAAATCAAAAGTAAAATAAAATAAAATTATATTA